CGCACACGCTCAGTAACGTTTATTCAATTCAGTTTTATTTATACAGCGCTAAATCCCAACAACAGTCGCCTCAAGGCACAAATGTTATCCAGCTGCTGCACAGACTTTATGTGTTTTAAACCAGCTACCATTTGAAGACACATAAAACATTTCTACAAATATATGCATCAGAACCTAGACACAACTGAAATAAGCCAATGACTGCTCAGAGTGGGCGTGGTCATAGACAGGAACCAATCACAGTGCTCAGTGTCCTGGATTAAGACCCAGAGAATCTTCTGCAGCTGCAGCTCCATCGTTGCTTTTAAACCTCCTCATTTATTCATCCATTCATGTCAAAGTGTTTCTTTTCCCATCTCATTCAGACAGGATTTAATATTTCAGACAGAGCAGGTGATGAAATATTAGTCTGATACTCAAACACCTGCAGCTGCTGGTCCAGGATCTGGTCTGGGTTCTGGAGCCATGAAGGGTTTTTTGTTTTTTTTCTGAGGTTTCTAAATTCATATTTAGTTCTTAGAAATGAAGTTCACATCCAGATCAGCCCTCACGCACTGCAGGAAACATCACATACATACAGAGGATTCACAGATAAACGTGTGGGTGCTGAAATCAGTAAAAGAAGAAACAGAGCACGAGAAGGAGAGAGTGCAGGAGGAGGATTAAAAGCCTGCAGTGAAATCCTGTCTGAATGAGCTTTTATTCTGAAAGAAAAAGAAGACCAGCAGGATTTTCACAATAAATTGGTTGTCAGAGAGACAGAAAGCTGCAGGTCAGCAGCTGATTAATTCGACCCTCACTTTTCTGTCTGTCTGTGAGGACCCGTGATTTCATACTGTACAGCCAAAAGTACGTGGACGGCACCGGCTGGGTGTAGCCAAATATTTAGCATCTTGTTGCCTGTTAAAGAAGAATCTCCCAGTTTCCATCTGTTGTGTGCAAAGATGTGGTGATGATATAATGAAGTGTTCATTATTTAGACGAAGTTGGTTTTTTTCCAGGTTAAATCAAATATTAATGACATGTCTTATTTTATAAAGACTGAAAGTTTTATCTTGAAATAAACACTTGTTTTACTTTATATTTATCATGTAATTAGACGACTTTTTGAGGATGAGATTACTGAAATGTTTTAAGGTACTGCTGAAAGATTATTTTTGCGGTTTTAAAGTTCGTCTTGAGAAACGTCATCAGTCCTTTTGGGCGTTTGTGGTGATTTTACAGTTTAGTTCCACATAAATGTGTTTTTAAGGGATTTGTTGTGTTTGTGTTTTAACACAAACAGCTGCATGTTACGCTGTCATGTGTGTACAGCTGTCCACATACTTTTGGCCATAAACTGTTTCTATATTTGCTGTGTTTATAAAGTTGATGTGATCGTCATTTCTGCACTGACAATAAAGGTTTCTGTTAAACTGATCAAGGATTTATTATTGTTATTATTATTATTTATTTTAATAAGCTTAAGAAAAATGATCATTTTTCTTTCTCTGAGGCGTCCACGAACTAAATTCTCAGACACATCAATGTTTCTAAATAGATATGGAAACAATACAACCACCTTCCACCACTTTAACCCAGTTAATTTGCAGTTTTTATTTCCTTTTATCAGAGGTAGCCTTCATCATATTCCCCAAAAAATTGTTGCATATGACTTTCAACTTTTGGCGGAGCACAGAAAGCAAAAGATGGTGACCAGCTCACCAGCAGGCGACATCTTCATCAACATGTATCAGAGTCCCCCTAAAGAGGGACATCTGCTCACCCTGAGCGGCACATGGGGGACTGAACAAAGCAGAAAGAGGAAAAAGGAACACATTCAGTGTAAAGAGCTGGTTTAGAGCAGAGTGCATTGGTTTTGGTGATCACGGGGCTCATGTGCAGCCCTGGGCCCGCCTACTGATGTATTACATGAAAAATGGCTGCACAGTAAGTTTAAACATTTCCCTTCAGGTTTATTTCTATAGTGCCAAATCGAAACAGCAGTTGCTTCAGGCTCTAAAACTCTACAATAATTGTATGGACAAAGTTTGCACCCAAAATTTTAATAAAGCAGAAGAAGGAAGCATAACACAGAAATACTTAGCAAATATTTTTGGACATTGACACGAGTTTATGTTTTTTTCACCCGTTTACTGAAGCATATTCCAATTCTAGTTATATAATGGACATGGACATAATGTGCAGACCCTCAGCTTTCATTTGAGGGTATACGAATATTTATGGACCTACCTGTAAATGACTGAAAGCTCAAATGATCATTTTGGAGGATTTCTGGTTATTTTGATAAATTATATACACTGCCAATTTCCAATATATGTATTCCCAGGACACTTTAAACTGTAAGGTAAAATAAATAGCAACTATCACAGAGATAAAAGCATGTGGAGAGAAAAAAACTCCCTTTTAAAAGGAAGAAGCTTCCATCAGAACGGACACCAAATATCTGCCTTAAAAGGTTGGAGTAACTGGAAAAGAGAAAAGATGAACACAAAGGCCCAAAGGGATGACAAACAGCAGAAGAATATACGAAAAACAACTCAGCAGGTTAGTGGAGCCATCAAACCAAACATCAGGAATATGCAGGTCCAGTGTCAGAGATTCCTTTCTGTGGGAATTTATATTATTCCAGGAGAAAGGCACAGAGATAGAGCACAAACTGTTGAAGAGAGAAGACAGAAAGGCAACGGCATGCAAGAGCGGTACATAAATAAATTCAATGAGTGCGAAGGAAATTAGAGATGAAGAAAGCTCCTCCGGGCATATAGCGACAGAACTAATGCATGCTTCAGGGTCACATTTAAAAATATAATACAGACTAAAAGCAACACAGCTGCTGCTGCCGGTGCTGAAGGAAACCTGGAAAAATGTGACTGTGAACATGTGAGTTAATATTAATAGGATCACTGGGGAGGTGAGGAAGCATGCGTTGCATCCATTCATTAGGTGAATATTTGAAAATGTCTGGAAAAGTGAAACAGCTGCAATAACACAATCTCCACAGCTGCAGACTCCGAGGTAACGTCAGCCAATGAACTAAAATTCTTCTTTGTGCTTTGATTGTGCGATTAAAGTTGAGTTATTATGCTTTTTTTCTTATTCTCTGTCTTGTGTTACGATGATGGATGTTCACTTTAAACATGGCTGAAGTTTTAAATAATAAGTTTGGCTATAAAAACGATCCCTATGAGCCAAAACCTCCAACATTTTATTCAACAGCGGTGCCGGGTGGAGATCAGCTCCATTTCATTAAATGCATGAATTGTTTAATACAGTTTCAACATGCAGTTCTGGTTGTGTTTAAAGGTCGTAGGAAGAGTGAATACACAAACAACAAGTAAATGATCTCAGGGTCTGCAGTTTAGGATCACATCCCTGTACAAACACTATGAAACACTCGGACTGCAGCTCAGCGCCTCCCTGAGAATCTCTTTTTCACAGTGATGTTAATCAGTGAAAAACTCCTTAATAACTCTCACGAATGGCACACTGAGACCTTTTAATGCCATATTCCTGAGAACTTATTGCTTTCATATGAGCTGAACTGATATCTGGAACCTAACCTGCTTTCACTCAGGCCTCCATCCAGAGGCAGACATTTGAGAAGCCTCAAACTGAATCAAATCCTTTCTCAGACAGCAGATGAAGACAGCATGAATGTAGAACATTTCTAGGTAAAATAATAATAAATATTATGGACAGTAGGTTTGGTTTTTTTTGTAAGTCTCGCTTATGTTTAGGTGGATTTCTGTTGAGTTGCTGCCACCTGCAGGTGGACAACAGAACCTGCACAGACCGAAACTGGACAACAGTACATATTTGATTCTAATATGCGTAAATACATACCAGTTAATTCATCTTACATTAGTGTTGAAAAGGCTGATGATGGTGACCCTGAGAGGAAAGAGAAAAAATGCTGCAAAAGCTTTAAAAAAATCAGGAAAGAAAATGGAAGTGTTTCTGGGACACTTGACTGAACAGCTGCAAAGAACTGCAGTGAGGCAAGTTCAAAAGAAGCAGAGGGTTCATTAGTTTTGTGAGATCTAAGGATGTAAGGCAATGAGTGATTTAATCACATTATTCGTTTAATACTCTGCACACATGTTTGTTACTGTTTACTGTTAGCGTGTCACTTCCCCCGACGTTCAGTCAAGTTTTTGTTTCCCAAGAAACGCTTCTGTTTTCTTTCCTGATTTTTTTCCTCAGTTTTTTGTTGCTGTCTTTTTCTATTTCCTTTGTGTTTTGTGTGCTTTTGCAGCATTTTCCTATTTGCTGGTGTGTGTTTTTTTTTAAGTTGCAGTCCATTTGAACTCTCAGGGCCACCGTACAATAACAGTTGAGCAGTCTCCTGTGTGTGTAATGTCTGGTTTAAAGAAAAACAAAACTAAAACGACAACAGTGGAAACCAGCAGCTACATCCATCATTTATATACAGTCTATGAGAGTTTACGTGTTTCTCCTTTTCTCATTTGTTATTTAAAAGTAAGTGCGGTTAGTCAATGGTCTTCCTAGTGGAAGACATTCCTTCAGTTACATAAATGGTTACATAATCTGTAAAACCTTAGATCTTCCATGTCATGTTCATCCATTTATGACCACAGTGTGCCCGTGTTCTGATACCAGGCTAACATACAATGTCACAAAGCTAAAATCATCTGGTTGTGGTAGAAAAGGACATGACATCATGGACAATTGTGGAGAGCTGGGAGTGACAAAACTGATTAATTAAATAATGAATTAAATGTTTCATTAATTATTTAAAATTGGAATTAATTCATTAAATAAATATTTCAATAATTAATTAAATGGCCATTCATTTCATTTAAAACATTTAATTATTTATTTCCAGTTGTATTTAATTGATGACATTTTAATTAATGATATATTTAATTAATTATTGACACATTCAATTCATTTTTTAATGATGTATTTATTTAATTCCTTTTGGCACTCCTGGGCCTCCACAGTACAATAATGTCAACATGGACGGAAAGTTTCCAGCACCTTGATGAATCTGACAATTAGAGCAGTTCAGAGTTTACATGCATGTCTGTTTATTTCTTTAGCTTTTTGTCACAGTCCCGTTTCGATTGGAAGAAGCACGCTTTTCCTGAACGATCGCTTCTGTCTGATCTCTGTTTCTGCACTCGGCTCCTTCCGTCTGTCAGACCCAACATGGCGGCCTCCGCGGCTTCACGTGAGGTCTTCACGGAGGGAGTCCGAGCGGTTCTTCAAACCTGGCCGGTTCTTCAGGTGAGTTAGAGCCGATCGAGTGCCTCCTGAGCGGCAGGCAGACGGGTCCAGCTGATACCCAGACGGGTTACTGATTCAACGATAACCGATATGATGCTAACATGCTAACAGCTTCTCACGTGAGGAGCTTATGTTCTGTTAAACCAAATCACAGACCTACACAGAGCATTTTTATGGCAGCGGGACCTTTTAACTGGATAAATAAAAGATAAATACAAAGTCACTCTGCCACAAACTGACGGCGACTTCTACCTTGTGAGAGGAATGTTGTTTGTGGCTCAAGATGACTTGATATCATACATGAGGGAGACAGTTCACATATATCTCACATATTATAGGTCAAAATGTCTTTTTTATGGAAGTGTAAATACCGGGAATCACTTTTTGGCACACGGGCGTTGTGTTGTGATTGTTTTTATGTTGCTAAGTAGACTGTAGTCGGCAGGATTTAGAAAGCAGTTTTATATCAAATAAACAGAAGACCTGTTTTGGAAGTATCTTCATGATTCTGCGTTACTGTACCCACATCATCATCAATCCAGTCCTTCTTGGCCAAGATGAGTGTTATTTATTGAAGCGTGGAGCTCAGTTCGGATGTGTAAAGATGGAGCTGCAATGCAGGAGGACAATTTGAAGACCAGGATTAGATTCAGCGATGTAGTGAAGCAGCACTTGCAGAGAGTTGGTGTGACTGTAGACAGATGATCTGCTGTGGCGATCCCTAAAGGGGGCAACCAAAAGAAGGTGATGAACTTTGACCTTTGGATAGTTCATCTTTTTAAATGTTTCAAAATGATTCATTACTTCAGCAGAATGCAGGTAGAGCTTGGAGTGTGGGCGTCTGGATGCTGGGTGGTGGAGTCAACACATAGAAGAAGAAGAAGTGGGAAATTTAAACAGACGTGTGGGGAGGATGTGTTTGAGTTGGGTGCCTGCAACATCTCGCAGGATTCTCTGTTTATGAGAATTTATTAATTAGCTTGTTTATTCTTAAGTCAACATTAGAAATCTGATGTTATGTATGATGTGAAGTCACAGCAATAAAATGTACCATCTCTGTTTGTCGGACAGATTGCGGTGGATAACGGGTTTGGAGGCGTCTACGGCCAGCAGAAAGCTGATTGGATGGTGGATGTGGTTCAGCAGTATTTCCATGACAACGGTGGGTATGTGTAGTTGTTACGTGCTAATTAGAAGTGGGTGAACCCTTTAAATCGAGTTTAAGCTTTCAGTGATCATTAGATGTGATCTGGGTCGTCTCAGTTTGAGCTCGTGCAGCAAACAGGATGCATGAATAAAAGTGACTTTGAACCTCCAACGGTTCAGTCTGTTCTTTGAATCTGACAAAGGACAGCGTGAGACATGGATTACATTTAATGTTGCATAAGAAAAGACAAATAATTAGGCAACGTTTCTGTCGATATCAAGTTGATTAAAGGGAAACTCAGTCAAGTGTGTCTCAGAGGTTTAAAGGGCTCCTGTTGTCCTTCTTTTCTGCTCCATGTTCACATCAAACCTAAGTCTCAAATAATGAGGTATGAATGTAAAAGCAACCCATGTGAGGCTAAAGGCTTCAGACTGCTCCAAATGCTCCTCAATAAGATGCCAGAGAAAGAGGGTATGTTTAATATGTTCATCTGAACACGGCTCTGCCTGTAGACGCTGAAACCCCGCCCACCTGTAGTTTAAACCCTCTGTTTACATGACGTAGCCTGTCAGAAGAAGTTTGGTTTAAAGGGAGATGATCTGTAATATTTCAGACAGGATGAACTGAGGAGCAGTTTAAGATGTTTTGAACTGTGCGCCATGCAGAGCTTTACTAGTGGAGTCTAAGAATAGAAATAAGGAGCAGAACCACGTTTAATTAAACAGCGAAAGCTTCAGGGTCATTTTTGATGTTGTGTTAACATCTCCGTGTGTCTGTGTGTGTCAGCTGACCTGCAGCAGTACGAAGTCGAGGACTTCATCGCTGAGCTGATGGATCAGGAGTTCAATACAGTGGTGGATGATGGGAGTTTACCACAGGTACACACACACAAAAACAACAGCAATAACAGTGTTTCAAATGCACTCATCTTCACTATATTTAAGTCTTCTGTGGAGAAAAGTAAACCCTCGGGATCAGAGGCTACATTTCTCATTCTCTGCATGGATATGATGTTATAATAAAAACATGTTTATGACATGTCTGCATGTAAATTCTGGTTGTCTTCATCACCTTCCTGCCTCCTGATGTCAGCATTATATCTGCGTGGTCTCATTAACGTCTTCATCAGTTAGTTCAGTAGGACGAGCGAGGCATGAGTTCATCGGTTCTTCTTCTCGCCAGGAGAATATTTAGTTTAGTCTTTTTGTTGTGTTTGTGAACTGCCTCACGAACGAAGCTGCAGCGTTCACTATGATGTGATTAATGATGCAGAACTCGCGGTTGAAAATGGGCTGTTCGTGTTTTATGGTCGAGCAGAGGTGGTGCGTTCGCTGTCCGCTCCAGAGCTGGCAGCGAGCTCTGTAGTCAGATGGAGGCGGTGCACGATGTGCTACAGCCAGTCTGTGGTTTGCAGAACATAAACACTGTGTGATGATGAGCTCCCAGATGTTTCCATAACCCCGTCCGCCCATCCTGCTGCTTCATCACTTTTCTTATCTGATGCCTCCTCTTTCCTTTATGCGGTTTTTGTTCCTGGGTGTTTCCTGGTCGTCCCTTTGGAGCTGGCGTTGAGTCCTCGGAGATTCATGTCGGTCTCATCTTGGAGAAGAGTCACACCTGCTGCTTTTCTTCAAATTTAGCATCCACCTTAACAACACCTGCTTCTCTGTCACTTTGAAGTTTTGCTGCCTTTTGAACAAAAGCGCTGCGGATTCTGTTAAAGCGGCTCCGTTTGATCGCTTCTGCTTTGTTTGAGCCTCGTTATTTCTTCTTTCCTGACGCTTTCCAGGACGACTCGGTTTCTCTGAGCTCTTTGTTCTTGTAAACATTCAAGCGGCCAACTTTTCACTGTTCAAACCTCTAAACTCTCCACACAGTTGTTTCCTCATTGACGTCAACTTGTTTGAACGAAAGCGCAGCAATTAAAGTAGTTTTATTTTATTCCACACCGAACAAAAACTGAAGGAATGAACAGAATCGTCCGCTTAGTGCTGGTCTGCAGGTGTGGATGTTTGAAGGTGATGTGTGTGTGTTTGTAGGTGTCCGCCAATCTGCTGCAGATGTTCGGTCAGTGGCGGCAGGGGGCACTGGAGCAGCTCAAACACACCATCAACACTCTGACACAGAATAAGAGTCAAAGGGCAAAGGTCACGGCTCAGCCCACACAGTCTGATGAAGAGAGCAACGATGACGCACAGGTACGGCTCACCTGACGCGCACACACACACGCACGCACGCACACAGGTCAGAATCAGGACTGTGGATTTTGATCTCCGTCTGAGAATCTGAGCGACGTTCAACCTTTTTGAACGAGTAATCTGAATCTTTCACACCTGAATTACAACATTTTATAGGCTTTGTTAAAACCTGCAGCCAGATCAGTTGTGCGCCCACTCGAGCAGAAATCTCGACAATTCTGAGTTTTGCAGAGTTGTATCCATTTTGATGCCATCCCATCTTCTAGCCGTGATTCCTTTTGTGGTTTAAAAATGACTGTATCACATAATTACGGAGTATTTGCCATGGACTGTCCAGTATGTGTCTTGCTTTCAGCTCCAGCTCTGGATGGATGGAAGGAAACTGTAGTTTGATGCAGTTACATCCTCGTTCTGTCCGTTTGTAAAGTTGTGCTGCTTCTGTGCTCATATTATAGTCGTAAACAGACAGAAAACATTACGATATGTGGAGTGGGTGTAAAATGGATTTGGTTGCTGTTTTAAAACAAAACTCAAATGTGTTTCATGAAGTTATGAAGGTTTAAAATTCCTGGAAAAACCAGGACACTAAAAAGCCAAATATGGCCCCGCCCCGTGTACGTCAGGGGCTCATTCATAGTATGAAGACACAGCTGACTGAGGGCTTCAGGTGGGAACTTTTTATATATATATATAGATATATAGCGCCAAATATAGTTGAGTGATGGTTGTTTGTGTGTGCAGGAGATGGAGTGTGAAGCGTCTGGTCCATCGGTCAGCAGGACACATCCTCCTCCTCCCCCTCCTACTCAGGATGAAGAAGATGGCTGGACGGTGGTGAGGAAGAAGAAGTGAAGATTTTAGGATGAACTGTTAAACTGAGAGACTGAAGCAGCTCACCTTTGACCTACAGGAAGAGACTTTTTAGTGAAAGCTGGGCCTCAGCCTCCACCTGCTCCAGACTGAAAGGGTCCTGCAGGCTCAGAAAGGCGTGCTGTTTGTCGGCCGCCTGCTGGGACGTTCAGTCTGGAGCAGGTGGACGAGGACGATGTCCTTAAACCGGAGTCACTCTGCTTCCTGTGGATGAATTTTTTATTATTATTATTAAACACTTTGACCATACGCAGTGCTGTCGCTATACTGTACATCACAACATATAGAATTATACATCTTACTAGTACTGGGTCAGACAGACTTCAGCCTTCAGAGGTTCGTGCAGTTGCTTCAGGTTTGTGGAGACCACCTGAGTCCAGTGAACTCGTTTTCATTAACTATGTTGCCAAAAGTATTCACTCACCCAGCCAATCACTGAACTCAGGTGTTCCAATCACTTCCATGGCTACAGGCGTATAGAATCAAGCA